TAGGAAGAAGGCAGGAGCTCTGGAGAAAGGGGCCTCCCCCCACTCCAGCCCTAGCGTCTCTCCCGCTGGTGTCACGGGCACTGCTCCCTTCCTACTCTCCCCTCGCCAGGGCCACTGGCAGGCAGCTCAGTCCGCTCCCGGGCTCGCCTTCCCCATGCCTGCCTGCCTGGGGTCGGCCCTCCCCAGAGATCCCCTCGCTCAGCCTCTCTGGGGCAGCCTGGGGGCTAAGGCCCACGTGGCTAGTGGTAGGGAACGGTGTGGGAGCACAGGCGGCCTGGGAGTTCCCACACCCTCCAGGCCCAGCCTCTCCCAGCAGGAGGCGCTGTAGGGAACGGTGTGGGAGCACAGGCGGCCTGGGAGTTCCCACACCCTCCAGGCCCAGCCTCTCCCAGCAGGAGGCGCTGTAGGGAACGGTGTGGGAGCACAGGCGGCCTGGGAGTTCCCACACCCTCCAGGCCCAGCCTCTCCCAGCAGGAGGCGCTGTAGGGAACGGTGTGGGAGCACAGGCGGCCTGGGAGTTCCCACACCCTCCAGGCCCAGCCTCTCCCAGCAGGAGGCGCTGTAGGGAACGGTGTGGGAGCACAGGCGGCCTGGGAGTTCCCACACCCTCCAGGCCCAGCCTCTCCCAGCAGGAGGCGCTGTAGGGAACGGTGTGGGAGCACAGGCGGCCTGGGAGTTCCCACACCCTCCAGGCCCAGCCTCTCCCAGCAGGAGGCGCTGTAGGGAACGGTGTGGGAGCACAGGCGGCCTGGGAGTTCCCACACCCTCCAGGCCCAGCCTCTCCCAGCAGGAGGCGCTGTAGGGAACGGTGTGGGAGCACAGGCGGCCTGGGAGTTCCCACACCCTCCAGGCCCAGCCTCTCCCAGCAGGAGGCGCTGTAGGGAACGGTGTGGGAGCACAGGCGGCCTGGGAGTTCCCACACCCTCCAGGCCCAGCCTCTCCCAGCAGGAGGCGCTGTAGGGAACGGTGTGGGAGCACAGGCGGCCTGGGAGTTCCCACACCCTCCAGGCCCAGCCTCTCCCAGCAGGAGGCGCTGTAGGGAACGGTGTGGGAGCACAGGCGGCCTGGGAGTTCCCACACCCTCCAGGCCCAGCCTCTCCCAGCAGGAGGCGCTGTAGGGAACGGTGTGGGAGCACAGGCGGCCTGGGAGTTCCCACACCCTCCAGGCCCAGCCTCTCCCAGCAGGAGGCGCTGTAGGGAACGGTGTGGGAGCACAGGCGGCCTGGGAGTTCCCACACCCTCCAGGCCCAGCCTCTCCCAGCAGGAGGCGCTGTAGGGAACGGTGTGGGAGCACAGGCGGCCTGGGAGTTCCCACACCCTCCAGGCCCAGCCTCTCCCAGCAGGAGGCGCTGTAGGGAACGGTGTGGGAGCACAGGCGGCCTGGGAGTTCCCACACCCTCCAGGCCCAGCCTCTCCCAGCAGGAGGCGCTGTAGGGAACGGTGTGGGAGCACAGGCGGCCTGGGAGTTCCCACACCCTCCAGGCCCAGCCTCTCCCAGCAGGAGGCGCTGTAGGGAACGGTGTGGGAGCACAGGCGGCCTGGGAGTTCCCACACCCTCCAGGCCCAGCCTCTCCCAGCAGGAGGCGCTGTAGGGAACGGTGTGGGAGCACAGGCGGCCTGGGAGTTCCCACACCCTCCAGGCCCAGCCTCTCCCAGCAGGAGGCGCTGTAGGGAACGGTGTGGGAGCACAGGCGGCCTGGGAGTTCCCACACCCTCCAGGCCCAGCCTCTCCCAGCAGGAGGCGCTGTAGGGAACGGTGTGGGAGCACAGGCGGCCTGGGAGTTCCCACACCCTCCAGGCCCAGCCTCTCCCAGCAGGAGGCGCTGTAGGGAACGGTGTGGGAGCACAGGCGGCCTGGGAGTTCCCACACCCTCCAGGCCCAGCCTCTCCCAGCAGGAGGCGCTGTAGGGAACGGTGTGGGAGCACAGGCGGCCTGGGAGTTCCCACACCCTCCAGGCCCAGCCTCTCCCAGCAGGAGGCGCTGTAGGGAACGGTGTGGGAGCACAGGCGGCCTGGGAGTTCCCACACCCTCCAGGCCCAGCCTCTCCCAGCAGGAGGCGCTGTAGGGAACGGTGTGGGAGCACAGGCGGCCTGGGAGTTCCCACACCCTCCAGGCCCAGCCTCTCCCAGCAGGAGGCGCTGTAGGGAACGGTGTGGGAGCACAGGTGGCCTGGGAGCTCCCACACCTCCAGGCCCAGCCAGAGCTGCTGCAGGGAAGGGATGGGAACTCTGCTCGTGGGCTGGTTTCCTCCTGACGGGCTGGCTGTAATGGGAGCAGCTTCTCCTGCAGAGCCCAGAAGGAGAGGGGCGCCCGCAGGCCCGCTCAGGAGGGGGATCCAGCAGGCTCTGGCTGTGGGCTTCTCTCTGGCCGGATTCCCCGGGGACCTGGGGAGACGGGCGGGCTCCGCGAACTCAGAGCCTCCGGGCTGTTCCCTTCTCCATAACCTGCAATGGAGCATCGGGGGCAGCAATTTACACTCCCTCTGTGTCTTATCCATCTGTCCCGACACAGCCTCATCCGTCTGTCCTGACACAGCCTTCCCCTCCCTTGGGCTGCCGGCACTCCCAGCTTCAAGAGCTTTCTGCTTCTCTGCAGCCAAGGCCTGCCCTGCCCTGCGCATCAAAGCCCAGGATGCTTCCCCCGCTGGGGTGGAACTCTGCGTCTCTGCCCCGCCGAAGAGCAGCCCCCAGGCGTCAGCCCGCAGCCCCATCCCGGCACTAGCCACAGCCCGAGACACAGAGTGGCTCGCAGGCTGGCGGAGGAAGCAGGCCGGGGGCTCCAGGGGTTATGCCTGACCCAATCCAGGCCAGTATGCCCTCTAATTTTTCCATCCATGTGCAGAATAAATTTTGTTCTTTGCACCAAGGCAAACACAGCTGTGCACCACCAATATAAACCCCTGCTGCCAGCTGTGGGCGCTGTGCTAATCAGCTGGGTGGCACCTGAGTCTCTCCTGGGCGGCCACCCAAGCACTCAGCTTACAGGGAACCCTGCTCTGGGCCCCTTTCCTGCAGTCCCACCCCCTACCCTGAGAACACCGCTGCCCCCAGCACTGCGGCCGGCCAGCCCCCCAGCCCCCGTGGCTCACGCCAGCAGGACATGCAGGGAGGGGTGTGCGGGAGGCGGGAGAGAAGGCGCGATGAAACGCCCCAGCCGCAATGAGGTACAGCCAGGACGGGGGGTGTCAGTGGAGTTAATGGGCCCAGGGATCTCGACAGCATCAACAGTGGCCGAGGCCCCCAAAGGGACAGTCCCCCCCCCGAGGGACACTGCTGGTCTCTGCTGCCCTGTGCACCATCAGTTCGGCCTCCTGGCCCACGGCAGCTGCGCTTCCCCATCTACAGGGGCCAGACTCAGCCCTGGAGGAAGCGCCTGCCTTCCCCACTCTGCACGCCGGGTCTGAGATGGGTCCCAGGCCTTTCCCGGGGGGAGGGCCTGACCCCAGCGGAGCCCCGGCAGCGACCCCAGGAGCTTGGCCTGCCTTGCATGGCACAGGGAGCAGGGCTAGAGGGAAGGGCAGGTCCAGGCCTGGGGGAGGGAGGAGCATTCCAATGGCTG